AGTTCTTCTTCCACGTGTTGTCCTCAGAATAGAGGTAAGAGAAGGAGATTAACAGGCAAGCTTGTTTGAATACATAACAGGCAAGTATAGTTTGGCCACAAGTGAGCTAGGTATACTCTCAGAAGGAATCCCTTTATTTGATCAGACAGGTCAGAATCTTCCAGGGAAAATATTAATTTTAGGAAAATAGATCAGAACCCACCTGTTATCAAATAGGAAATTGGCTTGAATGTTGAGAAATACCCATTTTTATTGTTATCAGTGGTTTATCATCCTCCCACCTGAAACTACCCTACTGACACTCCCTATTGCCACTACTGCCACCAAGTCAAAGAGAGTCTCATTCCTCTATCATTGTTCTTCCTACTTAGAAGTTGAATTTCATGCTAGGATATAGTCATCCAACTGGGTCTAAAAGGTCTCATCATGTGTGGAGAGAAACCAAATACAGAAAATTTACTTCCAATTAACACCTCTGATCTCCAGATGTCCTGAGAAAAACAGTGAGGCAGCAAATGGCCACCCTCAAGCCAGAAAACCATACTTGGACTCAATGTTCTTAAGAGCCAGGCAAAGTAGCTAACCTCTTCTTAATTTGATCTCCTGGCTTGGGACGCATAAATGTTTAACTACACTCTGGCTTAGGAAGGAAAGCAAGCAGAGGTGAACGTATCCTGTAGTGGCAAGGCTTCAACAGACCACTTGTCTCACCCTGAAATATGAAGAAGCAATGCCTGCTTCCTCAAGCTGAGCAGTGCCCAGGATTTATTAACTTAAAGCATGATGTGAATTTGGGGTCTCAGCCAGGTATTGAGAAAAGGTGGACAATTTCCTCTCCCTCCCTCCTCCTCCTCCTCTTACTGCTGATTGTACTGTTGAGAAGTGAATCATGATTTAATCCCCTCTGTTGTTAAGAGTATTACAAAATTCTGGTTGCAATGAAGTCATAAAAATATTTACGTAAAAGAAAAGATGGATAGATAGAGAATGTTATAGCAAGTGACAAAAGGATACCACCATCATCATTACCACCAGCAAAAGGATAGGTATGGAAAAATCCTTGCCTGGATACCAAATGGGATGCAGCTCATTAACTTAGACCATCTCTCTCTATAATCAACATAGCAAATGTTTTTACACTCATGCAGTGTTGAAAGCAGTGCATGATGGGAGAAAAGACAGTTCTAGTCACATGCGTCTGGGTTTTTACATTTTAGCATCACCAGATCAGGGCCAGGTTACCCCAGAATGCTCAATGATTCATGAGAAATGAATCATGTCTTCATTCCAAGGCTTAGTATATGCATTATACCATTATTATATGCAAGCAACTCTTTGGTTGACAGCTCCAACATGGATTAAGGTCAAAAGTGGCCCTGAAGACCAAATTCCCTAGTGAGGAATTGCCACATGACTTCATGTGTCCCTTGCTTTTAAATTCTTTCTTCTCTTAGAACCAACCAACCACAAGCTTTTCACACTGGTATTATATCTATATAACGTTTATTCTTCTTATAGCAAAGAGCTGGAGAAATACAAGTGAGAATCTGTTATAGAGGTTAAATTGTGTTACACCCAACCTGTGCTGAGGGTCCAGTTTCTTTGTATTATGCTCCAATTTTGTTGAATGACTATTGGCTAAAATAAATGGACAATCGACAGGGGCTTAGAAATAACAGGGATGCTTAAGTGACTTTTATGGTAGCAGTATTTGTTTTAACAGAATTTGACCTGTATTCTAGTTATTAGTTTTATTCATCACATTGGAAACTTGGCATTTCCATTGTTCATGCCATTATATGCAAAGCGCTGTAGCATGAAAGTCACTTACAAAACTGTGAAAAAAAAATTCTAAACACCAGAGGCTCATAAAACAATAAAACATCAGCTAGGGGGATATATATTGTTTGATTTAGCTAAATATTCTGGATGGTCAATGGTTTATTTAATTCCTAAAAGTTTTTTTTTTAACCACTGGGATGTAAATATTTCTAAAATGTTTGATAGACCGATTTTTGCCTTCTGAGCATAGTTATTTTATATACAGTGCACAGGATCATCATTTTGAATATAATCACATTGTCCTATGATACAGCAAGGCTCTTAAAGATTGAGATGTGTATAGGCTGTTTTTGGCACTAAACCCCTATATCTGGGCTTTTGGAGCTTTTCAGTCTACTCAAAATTTCTGTTTTCTCTATTGCTGTCCTTCTTTTTCCTTCTTGTTTCCTCTAGAAGTCTGTTTCTCTCCTTTATATTTGGAAACATGTGTGAAGTGGCCAGGCACCGTGGCTCACACCTGTAATCCCAGCACTTTGGGAGGCCGAGGCAGGCATATCATGAGGTCAGGAGATTGAGACCATCCTGGCCAACATGGTGAGACCCCATTTCTACTAAAATTAAAAAAAAATATTGGCTGGGTGTGGTGGTGCACGCCTGTAGACCCAGCTATTCAGGAGGCTGAGGCAGGGGAATCACTTGAACCCGGGTGGCGGAGGATGCCATGAGCCATCATCATGCCACTGGACTACAGCCTGGGTGACAGAGCAAGACACTGTCTCAGAAAAAAAAAAAAAAAGAAGAAGAAGTATGTGTGAAGTAAGAGCAAATAGGTTCTGAGTAGGTGCTTCATGAGTAGATGTAGAGCCTTTGTCTTATGCATTTGCTTTGTGGTATTTATTTCAACTGCTTGGAAGCATTGTTTGCTTACTTCTTAATTCTCATTTTTGATGGGTTGAGCAGAGGCTCTAGATTTTTCTAGTTCTGTCTCAATTACTCATTGTCAAACCACCAGTTTAGATTTTGTGTTCAGGAAATAGGGACAGGTGAAGCTATCAGGTGGCTAAGCCCTAGGTAAATGAGTTGCTATGAATCCTGAAATGTTATAAGGCAAATGGTATGCTGTGGCCATGACAGCTGAACTCAATAAGTGAACTTTAAAACAGATAAGCTCCTTTTGCTGTTTCCCTTTCCAAGAATATGAAGCTGGCCTGATGTCAAGCAGTTGGAGAGCCTTCGAGATGTTTAATTAAATCACAGACTCAGTGTCAGAGCTGGCTGACTTTCAGGAATCTAAGGCCCTAGCAAAAGAAGACATAGTTTTGCCTCTCTTGTTGATTTCCTTATTTATGGCCTTGGAATAAAGAAGATAAAGCAAGTCTAACAGTCTTGTCTTCCGAAAGTGCAGTTTCAGGCCATAAGAAAATTTCACTGCTATCCTTAGACTTCCTTCCCTCAATTTTACATGACATTTTCCAGGCTATACAAAGCAAGACCTTCTTTGCAAAGGGCAAACTCCGTTGTCCCACGGCCATACTGTACATGTGTCGGGGTAGGTGTAGGGGGATCAGTGTTGTTATTCACCAATACAAGGTGGAATCAGTGCAGCTAGGAGAGAAGAGATTAAGGAAAGAAGCTGCGAAGTCTGCTAGACCTGGGTTTAAGTCCTGGCTTCCTGCTTATTAGGGTGTAACCATGGTCACAGTACTTAATTCTCTAAATTTGATTCCTGAGCAATAAAGTGGGGAATGATAGTATTGGTGCTGTTACAATTATGATAATGTGAAAAACAACTAGGAGAGTGCCTGGCCCAGAGAAACAGCTAAGTGACAGCTCTTATTATGAACAAAAATGAATGCTTTAAACCTTGAGATTACAATATTTAACAAGTACAGACACTTAGTGCAGCCTGTTATTGACTTCAAGCAGTCTTTTGATTTTGTTTTTATTTCTGTGACATCTTCTCTTATTATGACTTTCTGTTGGGTGTCTCTAACTCTGGTGCCTTGCGAAGGCCAGGAGATATTCCAGACAAGCTAAAATTCTACCTTTTTGTGAGTATAAAGGCAATGGGGCCATGTATAAGTTGGACCAAACAAAGAGTAATAAAACAAAGTAAGAGAGTTGTAGCTTTCAGAGGGAAAGATAAAACAAGAAAGGGCTGGGGCAATGGATGTGGTATTGAGATGCTGGCACCAGGAAGCAAGGAAGAAAACCTCCAAACACATTGTGGTTTGTTAAAACACTGAAGACTCTTAAGTGCTACAGTGGCAGGCAGTGTCACCCGACCAGGCAGTAGTGTCCTCCACAGCTGAGGAAGGGGAAGTAGGGCCTAATGATTGCTCCTGGAGACAGAGAGTCTGCTGTCCTGGGCTTTACCAGCCTGGCTTGTTGGGTAACCTTGAGCAATTTATATCCCTACATGGACAATTTCCTCAAGGTTCTCACGCAGTCTGATGGGTGATATATTTGTTATCTAAAGGGTCTGATGAAGATATATTTGTTAAAAGAAAATTTAGAGGAGAGTCCACAAACTGCCCCTCCAGACATACTTGCTGGTGGGTTTTAGGATTTTTAAACATTAAATTTTAATGCATTTAGACAGGGCTTGGTATTTTCTAATTCACACAATATCTACCATCTTGAGTCTTCACATTTGGCTCCTGAAAGCCCCTGAGTATATGACTTCTGATTTCAATGGATTACAAACCAGATTGGAATTGCTTCATTTACAACTCAATTCTATTTCTTCATCAACTACATGCAAATATGTACTTCTAAAGTTTCACAAAACAAAGATTTTGCTGGCCTAACTGTAATTTGCTCTATAATGACATATTTTTTTTCTAGAAAATATGTCAAAAATTACAATTTGACTTTCCTTGTAGTTCATCCAAATTCTAAAGCTTTAATGTTATTTGAAAACATAATTCAGCACCAAGTATTTTTTAGGTTACAATCTAAGTTGCTCATAAAATTTAATCTCGGCCTCGATCGTTTTGAGGAGAAAACATATCACTAAGTAATAATGATCTTCAGTCTGTTCTTTTACCACTTCCCAGAGATCTCCTAAGGCACTCTGGAAAAGTCAGAAGTAAATTAGACTCCCACATCTAGTAACCAAAACACCAGCATCTTTAGCATTACCACAGTGAAGTATGCAGATCGTCATGAATATTTACACCTTGCAGGGTCCTTTGTGCACAACTCGGAGAAACAAATGGCATTTCCAGTAATAGTTTATTGATTTCCAAATGCACAGGGGCGCCGAGTCCGAACATCCTGGGATAGCAGTAAATCTCTCTTACAAAATAATTTACAGTATGAAAATGATATACTGAAACATTAACTCAAATGCGTAATTCCCTTGAAAGATTCAGTGTTCCCTTGTTTAATGTAAAGGGTGGAAGGGGAAGATGACTAGGAAGGGAATGTGACTATGCACAGGAAAATAGGCAGAGGACAATGAATTCATTGGTTCTCCCCATTCATGCAGTGTGGCCTGTCACTGTAGAAAGACTGGTCAGATTTAACTCTCATTAAGTATTAGTCCCGTCAAAGTCATATCAAGCCCAGTATGGGCTCCGTGGCTTTTTTTGCACCAATGTACCCACAAATATCTTATTTTCATTTTTCTGCTCTGGGCCTTGTTCTGTTGTTTCTGGTATGTTCTCAGTTCCAAATGATACTATCTTACCAGGCAGGCCTCCAGAAGCAAGAACTGCCTGAGTCTTACGGGTTCTGGAATGGGACAGGGTTAGGGGGCTTCATAAGCACTGCTGGATAAAGGCAATAATAATGAGATCTGAAGTTTCCCCTATGGGCCTTCTTCTTCTCTTAGGGCTGGGCTGGACTCAATCCATAATGAGATTTTTTTAAACATAAAAATCTGATGTTGTCAGCACACAGTAAACATGCAATTCATTTTCTTATTGAGAAGCATGTATTGAACGGCCATTATATGAATGTGGAATTTCAGGAATGGCAAGATAATATTTTCTACTTGGGGAGAGAGGACTTCCTAGACCCTGCCACTACTACATGATCATGAATTCTGCATTTGTGCCCTCAGGTCTAACTTGAGTAGTTAGACTCTCAGGTCACCAAAATGGCTGGGCATCCAAATTTCCTGTGTTATTAAACATCTTGGAGGAGGGCTGGAGTGCAATTTCCTTCAGGGCTATCACTTTGACTCAGTGCTTTAGGAGCTAATAACTTTGCTAGAGAATTGCTCTTCTTGTAAGCAAGTACCTAAGCTCCAACTATATGGCGGCACTTGTAATTAGGGCTGACAGAAACCTCTGAAGTAGTATGCAAGATAATGAAGGGGCTGCTTTGCGTTTTCCTTAGTTCTCAAGTATTCCATATGTGGTGTGTGTGGATATATATGTATGTATATACATATACACACATATCACACTTGTCATTTAGTCATTTATATATAGGTACACACAACCACCACCAACCCCCCACCACACATAAACAGGCATCAGTAGAAGAGTCCAGATTCACTGGACTTTGAATCGCTACATCCTCACAGAGCACACTGGCGGCTAGCTTTACTGAAATAGGAAGATTTCCTTTTCTACAGCAGAGAAGCTGCCAACATTTTCAAATAAAGTTGAGTAGAGAGCAGAACACCCTTTACTTTTACTACTGCTGCAAACTTCTGTACCCTTGAAGGTCAAGAAACACCTTTTTATGGAAGACGGCACAAAAAAGGAAAGGTTCTCCCAGCTCCTGGGGGTGGGCTCAGGTCAGCAAGGTGTACTTAAAGTATCTGCTAAAGGAAAGAAATAAGGGTACCACAATGCCATTTCTGAGCCCTAACTACAACTGTGAAATGTCACCTTGAAAAAGATTCATAAATTGGGATGGTCAGAGTGCAGTGGGAAAACTGGAAGCCTCTTTATCCTTCTGTCTTTAGGTGGACCAGGGTATATGGTACAAAGTACCTGTCCACAGAATTAGGGAGAACTGGGTTCAAGATCCGGCTTGAGTATTTCCTACCTGTGTAACTTGAAGCAAGTGACTCTAATGCTCCCTGTCTGTTTTATTATCTAAGAAATAGGGTGTCGTTTAGGGCCTGGCTCACAGTTGTTCCTTAATATAAGTTATTTCTTTTCTTGAGCTGTCAAAGCTGAGACTCCAAGCACTTCTTGAGACTGTCCTGGATTTAATGATATCAAACCAAAGTCCCCCCTCAGCATCCAGAAATTCAGCATTTGAAAGGTAGCTAGATATTGCTGAGTATCTGATTGATTCTGGAGACATTCATTACCTGCCTCCCTTGGTGACATCTCCTTAGGGGTTTCTGCAAACCCTGCAACCTGCAGCCAGGCAAGACACAACTCTGAGCTCTCTAACTTTTACTAACCTGGCAGGAGGGAAGCCTCATCATGCTGGGGCTTAAGGCCAAGCAGCATGCTCCAGTTCTGGGGGAAGGTGGTGCCACTGCAGGAAGCATCCTAGTTCTTACATTGATAAATGCTGCTGGCAGGAACTTAGGAGCCTTAGCAAAAGCTGCTGTACTGTGTTTAATGCTTCCCTGGTTAAAGTTTTATCAGGTGCTGAAGACAGCAGGAGCCTATAAAGCAAATCTCAAACTCTTTCTAAGTAAAAAGCAAAAGTGCTTTCCTTGAGGATTACAGAGATATGATAAGTTACTGAGACAGGTTAGCACATATTTTTATATTTCCATTTATATCCACTGCATAAAGGCTTGAATTTCCCAAATACTGATTCAAAGTAATAACATATGATCAGATATGGACAGCCAATGATCTGTCCATTGCTAATATAAGGCTACTATTTGGAGATCAAACAATGATTATTGGGGAAAGACAACATGCTTCTAAATCCTAAAATCTTTTTAATCTTCTGATATTTAAACTTTGAGAGTGACCACTGGTCCTTCTTTTAGGGTAGTTTTGTTGGATATGATTGGAGGTTGTAATTAACGGTATGCCAAATTCTCCAGTCTTTGCAGAGATAGGTAAAGCATCAAAATTGTCTTAGCCATTTCTTCGCCACAAGTTTGAGAGAAAAACACTTTTTTTTTGTTTTAAACATTTCAGACTCTATTTAGCCCCAATATCCTGACATCTTTAGTGAGTTATGACAATCCTAACCCAGACGCATATATGCCTGGGAGCTTCCTGGCCTCAAAGGAATAAATCATTTCACAGCATTCACAAGACTGAAAAATAAATAGGACTCCTACAGTAAACAAGTATTGTTTCCGTTTCAAAACCATCCTGCAAGCACAAAAATCAGCTGGCCCTAATGCTTGTAATAGGTACACAGGTCACATGCAGACAGGCAGGTGGGAAAAGGGATTTTCCCCTAGTGCAGGCTGCTTTGGTTTTGCCTTAGACGCACTAGAAGTCTAGGTCCCAGAGTCTGCATGGATATGGTTCCCGTTGTATTCCTCATAAGTGAACACCAAAATACCATAAAGACAGAGAAGAGTGAACACATAGCCATTTGCAAGTAAGAAGTACCTTTCAAGATTCCTATTTTATCTTGACAGTCTACGTGAATGAACATTTTATTCTATAATATAACTTTTATATAAAAATAAAGTCATCTCCTGACTCCAAACTATTTGGTAAATAAAACTGATGCTTCAAGAAGATGCAGGTTTTTAAGTTTGCAGTTTTATATTCCCCTAGCACATCCCTGCTTACTTGGGAGTACAAAGCTTGGTTGTAAGAAACTGTGATTTGGGTGTAGAGAAAAGTAAGGAAGTCCAACTTCGAGTGTGTCTCTGTTACTAAGAGGAGAGCAAGATCCAGGGTGTGGGAGATTTGATGGTCTGTGGGTGGGGGGTGCCACAGGAAGAAGGGTTCTGGTTAGAGTTAAAGGAGGGTATATATCTTATCTGCTGGGAGATGAGCTGAATTCAGAACACATGGAGTGGCAATAATTCTCCCTCTACTGCATTTAAGCCAAACTAGGCTAAAATGGGGGTGGGACTAGCAAAAACCTACACTGAAAATTCCCATTTGGTAATATACATTCCAGCCCTTAATACTGTGATAAGCCCATAAAACCTGCAGAATTCACCCAAATAATTCTGGTTCTATTAGATCCTTTAGTGACTATTTTGGAAATTCAAGCAATTTGAATTCGGAAATACTGATTTCAACTGTTAATCAGGTTTCTTTGGTCCTTTTTCCCCTCCTAGGGTCATTTCCTTTCCACCTCCTCAATCATTTTTTTTCACTTCCACAGCACTGAATTAGGAATCTCAAGTCCTGGATAACTTCATATACTAAAAATATCTCTTCCTAACCTTGAACTCTTTCTCCAACACCTTTTCCCGGTCATCCATCTTAATTCATGGCACATTTTCACAAACATAGAACTGGACTTTTAGGGGCTGTCTACATGAGTCAGTTTGGCCCTGCCTTGCCCGCATTTATTTCATGCTTCAATATGAACAAAATTGGGTTTTTGTTAATAGCCAGGGAGAAAACTCTGACTTTCCTTCAAGATTATTCCAGATCCTTCCTAACAAAGCGTACTGTTTGGCTGTAAAATATTTTAGGGGCTGGCTTTCCTGAGTAAGTTCAAAGCAGCCGTTGAGGGATTACCTGAAGGACCCTTAATTGCTCCTGGTGGATCAAACGGGCTCTTTTCCTTGACCTACCACAAATAGAGGATGAGAAGCACACAGTCAGTAAGCGTAAAACTGGTCATCCCTTGGAGAGATAGGTGCCTGCTGTGGATCTGGGGACACATCCGGTGGAAGTACGTTTGTTGCTGAGCAGCTTTCACAGAAATCAGAAGCCGTTACATACACGCTGTCACATACACACGAGGGGAGGGGACGATTTTCCACTGGGGGTAGTAAGCCTTCATGTGTCCTCTTCTTCACTGGCACCACTGCAAAAAAGAAAAAAAGGAGAACCAGGTGAGTTAAGATATCACAAGAAGGGAGGCAGCCTAGTTTACTGGTTGATGGCATAGGCTTTATGTCAGACATACCTGAATTTAAGTCTTAATACCACAATTGAGCAATATGGCCAAAGGAGAGTTACTTAGTTTGTTTAAATTGATTTATCTGGCCACAGGGGGAATGATGATAAAACACACTTTGAGTTACTAGAGGATTAAATAAAAGAATACATATAAAATGCACAGTACCTGGTATACACTAAGTGAGAGCTATTTAAAGGAGCAGGTGAGAGTCCTAATTCTGTTAAACTTAACTAAAAAAGTAAATAGCTGGTAAAAGTCAGATGTATGATTTCCTCTAAGCCTTAAGCCATCTATTAGGAGAGAAAAAACAAGGAAAAGCTACTATCATCCACACTCTCAATGGCACTTTGCACTTGGAAAAAAATCCAAGATTTCAACTCATGCCATAGGGACATATCCACCTCATCAGAGAAGGCCTCTACTTAGTAGGACTCCCTGGTGACTCTCTTATTTCTTTCATAGGTCTTATGACATTACATAATTTATTTGTTTGTGATTTACTCTTCTCTTTACCCCTGACTAGAGCATACAAGAATAGCACTACTATTTATTAACAATGTATATCTAGCACTAGCACTGAGCTGGGCATATAGAAGTGCTGCATAAATAATTGTTTTTAAAAAGGAAGTGAAATACAAACAAGAAGAAAGGGAGGGAGGGATGGACACAACTGAAGGGACTGGTCAGTCATTACTGCCCTGGCCAGGGTATACCAGATGTTACGGACGTTTCAGAGGCCAAAATGGGTTGTCAAGCCCCAGAGGCATGGCTAGTACCTCAGCTGCTCAGAGTTACAGCACCTCTGGCTTGGTCCTGGGAGAGAACACTGTTGGTACAGGGATCGGGGCAAGAAGAAGGCAGAGCCTGAAAAAGCAGGAATGAGCATACTCCGAAGGGCAAAAGTATGTCTATATAAAACCTACACTCTTTTGCATCCATTTGGGAAAGACTTTAAGGGAAAATATCTTAGGCAACAGATTTCTAGAACTTCCACTAAAGGCAGAAACATTTCAAGAAACAGGTTCTGCAAGTTAAGGTAAGTGTATGCTAGGAGCCAAAGAACCAACTCAATAATCTTCAACATTTCGAATTGCACCCTATTTCCACTCCCTTTTCCTGCTGGTTATACAATCATGGGATGAAGGGTGCATGCCAGCAAGAGCTGGACAGTGGGCTGTCATTAAGGAGCAGTATCTAATAGCATCTGTCCCAAAGGGAACAAAACGTCTTTTATGAAAGCTTCTCACCAGAATCAAGGCAGAGCTGGAACTGGCGCCATAGTCTCCCCCTTGGTATTATATCCAAAGCAAGCTCTCATTGTTCTCTTGTCAGTTTTATTTCAAATATGAGGGCAGCATAGTGACTCTGCCCTAAACTGCAGTTCACTTTTTAGCCTTCTTAACTTGAGATACATAGTTTAAACGTTTAAACGTTCACGAACCTAATGAAACTGTATACAGAATTTTATCTGTGTGTTCCTTTGAGAGACGCCATACTTTTCATCATTTTCTCAAAGAAGTCAACAACTCCTGCCAAATTGGAAATAATCAAATTATAAATAAACTCCTTTCCTGTTGCCAGGTTCTTTATTGTAAGATCTGGAGAGTGGCTTGGGAAAAAGGTCTGAAGTCCTGACCGAGAAAATCTCTTCTCATTAACTTAAAAGAGACCTGTTCTTGGGCCTGAAACTTATCTCACAGTTTAAAACATGAGATCTTAGGATACTGGCATATCATTTACTGATTATGTCATTTGCTAAATATTTATTGACTGTCAACCATGTGTCAGTCATGATGCTAGGTGCAATAATGAATAAGATGGACACAGGAGTTGCCCTCTAGGACTTTAAAGCCTAGTAGGTGAGATACAGGCTGGGGGAGGGAGGGAGAACCTTTTATATTCCATAACAGCATCTTCAAAGAAAGCATCTTATTTTTATAATAACCCTCTTCTCACAATAATAAAGAAGAAAAGAGGTTATAACTGAATCTGTAACATAGAGCTTTGCTCAGCTTGTATGCGGTCTCTCCTGAAGTATTCAACAAGATAATTAGTGTGTGGCATCCTCTCCTCTCCTGAATGTTCTTACTTCACTTTGTATATAAGTTAGTCTATGTTCACGAGATTATTTATTTACTTATTTATTTTTCAGACAGAGTGTCGCTCTGTCGCCCATGCTGGAGTGCAGTGGTACGATCTTGGCTCACTGCAATCTCCACCACCTGGGTTCAAGCAATTCCCCTGCCTCAGCCTCCCGAGTAGCTGGGATACAGGCACATGCCATCACACCCAGCTAATTTTTGTATTTTTAGTAGAGATGGGGTTTCACCATGTTGGCCTTGAACTCCTGACCTTGTGATCTGCCCACCCCAGTCTCCCAAAGTGCTGGGATTACAGGTATGAGTCACCATGCCCGGCTGTTCATGAGATCTTATCTTAAATAGTCTATAAAAGTCTTCACTTTCTGCAAGGGAAGTAATATAGCCTTCCACCTCAGCCACTTATAGTGCTCGTCTGAAACATCTAGCAGTCACACTGAGACTTATAACTGGAGTGGGACGTCAGAGGTTAATAATGGCTGTTTTATTAAAAAAAATAAAGGTGTTAGGCAGACAACCCATTCTACAGCAGGTAATTACCAATGAGAGAGGCAATATTACATAATTACTTTCATGTCACCAGCCTGAACTAGGTTCAAATCCCTTTTATGAACTAATAAACTGTGGGAACTTAAGTAAGTCACCAACCTCCCTGAATCTCAATTTCCTCATTGAAATGCTATCTTCCAAGGTTACTGTGGAAGCTTTATATGTTTTATGCAATACAAATGATAAAAAATGTTGCTCCTCTTCTTCAACCCACCTTCCTTCTTATCCTGAATAAAAATCTGCCTCTTCCTACCTTTCCCCCAATGTTCCTAGTTCTGGCAGCTGAAATGCTACATTCGAGAACAAGTGTGTTTCTATCCCCAAATGCCCTTCGAATATCTGGAGAGCAACAGTACCCTGCCTTGCTCACTTGGAGAGTTTTTTAATGACAACCCCAGACCTAATGAAATACAGGTACTAAGTAGAAAGGTTGAGTTATCACTCTGACCCTTCTAGGTGGCAGGTCTCAAGAAAAGTCATGCCTGCCAAACACTGGTGAGAACAAATGCTGAGTGAAGTTTAATTTAGTTAACCAGCCTTAGCTCAGTCACTGATCTAGCTTGAGGATACTGCTGTATCTAAAAATGGTGGCCTTAAAACTGAGGTATGGATACCCTTGTGGTATGTAATTACTTTCCAAGAAGTATTTGGGCCTGAGTAACTTTAAGAAAAATAAATGTCCAAATCCTTAACTTCCACATACACTGTTTTGTAAAACTTACTTTCTCAGAAACATGCCTGTGCTCTGTAAGGTTCTTGTTTCAGCCACTCCCACTTTCCGGATAACCTTACTCCCACACTTCAGCAGAAATGCTACCTCTCACCCTTCTGAATCTTAGCACGTAACAATTTTAGAATGTCTCCCTTAGAGGAGTCCTATGAGAGAAGGGCAAGAAATAATAAGAGACAGTCTCTTTTTTCACCCAGGCAGGAAACTCTTGGCAAGGCTGTATGTTTTCTCTACCTATCCATCAATCTAACACTTCAAATTCAGAAGTGAGATAGATAGTTGTCATGAGGTGTGTACTAGTATTTATTTGAATTGAAAGAAAATGAAATCAGACTTAATCCCGACAGAAAGCAAGTCTGATTTGGCTGGATGGTTTGGCCATCAGAACTGGCTTTGCCAGTTAGATTATATAGTACATCTTGCCTGTAAATTTAATAAGCTAAATTCAGAGTACCAAGGTTTTGACAAAAATCTATACAAAAACTCATATAAACTACATAATGTCAGCAATCACACCATTAGCAACTATTTACACTTGATATATAATTTCAAGAATTAATTTAAAAATGGGCAAAAGGCACATACTTTTTATTTCTTTTAGGTGATGTCAAACCAAAAAATTTAGCTAAAGGAACTGGGAGCTCCTAAATTATGACTAGGAGGGTGGTGTGAAATTTAACACTTTCTTGGTTGTGGGTAGGGGTTGGGGTGACAGAATGAGACTAAGGTATCTCAGTCAGCAGAAAGCTGTATCCCTTCTGAGTTGGGTGCATGGTCTGATGTGGTGCCTGTGGAACTGAAATGTCAGAGACATGCCTTAAGCCCCACATTCAGACCCTAAATACCCGCTGATAAAATGATTATATTTTATCATCATCATTTTACAGTGTTTCACTGTCTGACAGTTTTGTAGTTAGGCTGTATAGATATGCAGCTCAGTTTTTCAGCTTCTGTCCCCAGTGCTGTAGGAGTATAAAGGGGAAGTTAATAAATGTGGCAGCAGAAAAAATAGTTTCTTTTCCTAAGCATATAGTATAACTTAATGTGACTTGGCCTCACTCATGTCTGCTGAGCTCTTGGGTATTTAATTAATTATTGCTGTAAAAGGATTATTTAACTCAGGAAGATGGACAAATTAAGAGGTATTGATAAGGGAGGAAGGCTAGATTCAGCTGAAATTAACAAATATTTAATATTCTCCAAAAATTATGCTGCCTGGGCACTGTACAAGGAGCTAATTGGGAAGTCTCACTAAATGTCTGAGAAAGTGGTTGCCTAGTGGCAGTAAATGTGCGATCAGCACCGCTGGGGAGATGGACTAAACGCTTGGATCTAGGGACCTTTCTCTACCAAACAGAGTTCCTTCTTTGTCCCCTCTGTCCCACACTCACCTCCCCCAACAGCCTGGGCTGAAAATAAGGGGGTTACTGTGCTTTAAGGGATCTGAACTTAATAAAGCAAAATGTCCTTAGTCTATTTTAGCTTAACTGAGAAAAACATGAAAATACTACAGTTTTAGTCCTGGT